TATAAATAATTATCTAAAGTAATTATGTTTTTTAATGTGGTCAATAATGATATGTATACAAAACATTTTTTTATTTTATGTGTGCAATGCGCTGTGCGCAATATGTATGCAATGTGTTATATGCAAACGAAGCTGTAGACAATCGGGATTGTAGATAAACGGGACCTCCTTATTAATTGTCGGTCTTTTTTTAAATACATATAATTCAAATTCTGAACAATTCGCGTAGTGTGAATCCCAATATAGCATGATTTTCGGATACACCGCAAAGTAATAAGTGATATTCTCTTAGCGTAAGCGCTGCCAAATTTGTAACGGATCTCTGCGAATTGGAGTTTTTCAAGCGCAAGGAAGAAAATAATTTTGTATCATAATTCAGAATATTACGTATTACTTGCCGGTGTGATAGCACGTAGATAATACCGCCCAATATGCGATTTATATGGAGAATACGTCTTTCGTAGCCAACTTGGCTCGACGGGAATATCGCGAAGATTATCGGCGTTCGTTCGTGCGAACACGCTCCGTTCGCCGCACAAGTGTATCGTTACATTTTTATTTTTTTATAAGTTAGCTATAAAGAGAATATGTTATTGATGAAACGCGCAATACGTTTTTCTCGGAGACGCCAACGTTTTGCACTATGTTATTGTTTTTATGTTGATGATATTAAGCTTCGCGCAGGCTTCTCAATCGCGAAAGAAATATGTGAGCTATACCGATAAAGAGAACAGCTTGTACATTAAGTATATACGTATATATGATATATATATATATATAAAAAATTGTATCTATATTGCGCTGTTGAAAGAAAAAAAAGCGTCAGGCACTTTTTAATTGAAGGACAGGCCTATGCGGAGGGCCTGCGAAAATATTTTACCACAAAAGTATAATTAGCATATAGTTGCATAGATAGCGTATATATTTATCTATATAAGATTAACATATTATTTATTGATTCTTTTTTTATGTACTTGCCGATTTTACTGAGTACAGATGAAACGCGAAACATTAGAGACTGGTTCGCATCATCGCATTAATACATCTCCGATTTTCATCTTTCATCAACGAATCGATTATTTGCATTTATAAATTGATAATTGTAAATCAATTATCTAAATTAGCATTCGCATAAATTTGACAGTAATCGCGAATAAGGAACGATCGGCTTATCTTATATGTACATAAATATAAAAGGAACAACATCGCCACTTTATATAAGAGATGATCAAGTATTTATATATATTATATATAGCTATTATATATATATATATATATATATATATATAATAATATA